TGTGTGTGTGTGTGGGTGTGTGTGTGTGTGTGTGTGTGTGTGTATACAGACACCCGACACATTTTAAAAAAAAATTATAATTCATATTATTGCATATGTCGTCCTTTTATAAAGCCTATTATATTTTAATCAGTGCTGTAAAATGAAAGTAATATTCATCAGTAGTTCATGACTGAGCATGAATGTGCTCAGGTGCGACATCCCATCCTCTATATATATGTGTGATCTCACACCACCTGAGGACATTCATGTTCAATGAGACGAGCAACACTCAGCATCACAATCAAACCGAGTGACAGATGATGGTGAACTGTTGTCCGGTCAGCGTGAGTGGGCAGAGCGCCTCCTTTCTCCACAGTCATACAGGAAACAACATGGTGAAGCTGCCACAGGGCTGTGAGCTAACAGATGGAGAGCAGAGAGGCTGGATGTGGGCTGTGATCTCACGGGAGCAGAACTGAGGGGGAGCGAGAGGACTGGCAACAAAAGAGAGATCCACCCTCCGCCGCACACCACACTGACTACATGAGTGAACACACTGTCTTATTGCCTTTGAAGCACACTGACACATCTGAGCAATCATCTACTTATATCTACTTAAGGCTACTTATATGTGTGGAACCCATGAAAACAGGTCATATTTCATCCAAAATAAAATTGTGTTTAGTGTAATTCAGGAATAGTGAAAATGCATTATTTGACATTATCTTCTTTATGTTTAGGCAACAAATCCTGCCTAAAATACCATTACAGTTTTTTTTTTATTCTAATAATTCCAATCATTCTTAATGACAAATCTTATTAAATTGTAATAGAACAGGTATTATAAACAAGTAATATTTTTTATTTTTATTTAAATTTTATTTTTTGTTTAAATCAGCATAAATTAAAGCCAGTGCAACAAATAATACCGTAATGTGTAATTATTATAGCTGTATGTATATAACAAGCATTCGGAAGGTTACTTTGGAAATCAAATAGGTTACAGCTTACAAATCACCTTATTTAAAATGTAATAAGTAGTGTAACTATTTCAATTACTAAAAAATGTATGAATAAAAAATGCGTATAAATTTTATGTGAATTGTAGCCATGAGAACATTAGAGCGCGGTGTATTTTTGGGGGGGGAGGGTGGTTTGTACTGTATATAAATATATACATGTTTGCTTGTTTGTGACGTCACTGTCCACAGACAGAGAGAAAGGGTTTGATTTTTCTTTTCTTTTTTCCTCTTTGGAGGTGGTGGGGGGCAGGGGGTTTTAGGGCTGTATCCCTTTTGTATTGATATGCTTTTTTGTCTTGTTTTTCTTTGTTACAAGTGTTTAAAAAAGTGCAAACAAAAAGTGAACTTCCTTCTCAAGATTGTGTTTTGTTGGTGTCTTGAAGCTTCTCACGACCCACTCCCACCGAAGTAGGCTTGACTTTCTGTGCAGTTTGACCTTTTTTTCCCCTTGACTTTCCAAATCTGCTTTAGTCCTCTCATACGCCGTCTTCTGTGAACACCAGTGGTGGGACATAGTTAACGTGTTGCACTTACGAATGTTACGTGAAAGACTCTACGGTGCTGTCACTCACACAGATGTGAATTCCCGCTATAACACAAACCCTTTTTGTCCCGGCGCTGTGCTTGTCACAGTCAATGATGTCACCGCGGGGGGTAGATGTACTACTTTTGATTTGTATATATGGGTTATGTACTGTACGTAGAGTACGAATCGGCTAAAGCCTTAAGACACACAAATGTATGGAAACAATAGATGTTATATCAGAAACTGATTGCAAACGTGGTCTGCTGAAATGAACCCATCGCCAGTCATTCCCACTGATCGTGATTGCGTCTCAGGTGTTTCACACCTTTCCAAATATACATAAACACATACGCGCATACACGTACACGCAGTCATCCTTGAACGTGTACAGCCTCTTGTAAGCTAAACGAAAGAGGTTTTATTATAGCTGTATGTATATAACAAGCATTCGGAAGGTTACTTTGGAAATCAAATAGGTTACAGCTTACAAATCACCTTATTTAAAATGTAATAAGTAGTGTAACTATTTCAATTACTTTAAAGTAATGTAACTGATTACATTTGATTACTTTTTGATTATTTTTCTAAATTTCTAATGAATGTTTTCAACTGTTAATCATTTTCAAACATTTAAAGCAGGCAGAGTTAACCTTACAGTAGAACTGAATACTAATTAATGTCAGACTTTCAAAATCCTTCATCACTTGAATTAAGATAATAATCATTTAAAGCACAGCCACCACAAAATCAGACTTTAGCACCTCATTTTACTTTTATGATTGTTCTGAGGTTAATTACATATTTAAAATCATAGCAAGAAATAGTAAATATTAATACAAGAAATATTCAGATATAACCCCCTTTGTAATTGTTAACATTTTCATAAGTAGCTGTAATTTAATTACATTACGTTTTTTTCTCAGTAACTGTAATGGATTACAGTTACATTTATTTTGTAATTAAACTGTGTAATGCAGTTACATGTAAGTAGTTACTCCCCTGGATATATATATATATATATACCAGTCATTCCCACTGATCGTGATTGCGTCTCAGGTGTTTCACACCTTTCCAAATATACATAAACACATACGCGCATACACGTACACGCAGTCATCCTTGAACGTGTACAGCCTCTTGTAAGCTAAACGAAAGAGGTTTTTGTCTGTTTTACATCCAATCAGAAATGGACATTTCTATGCTGTTACTTTTTAAGAATTGGGCTACTTTGATGTTGACTGCTAAATGTGGTTAAAAGGAATGAACTTAAAATAAAAAACTGAAAATGTAGAGAACGTATTTGTTTCTGTTCTTCAAAAAAGGTGTTTTTTGTGGTTTTGATTGATTCAGTGGCAAAAACGGTCATCGATAAAGATAGCGTTCACATTTAAATAGCACTTTCTACAATAAAGACTGATTCAAAGCAACTTTAATGTAATAAACAGAAAAAACAGTGTTCATCTTACAATATTCTTCAATTAGGAAACAATACGTTTGGTTATAACTACACCTTCAGTTTCAACTATAAAGCAGTTTTACCGGAGAAAATAGTGGTATTTTTGTTCAGCTGAGTTCATTTATTCTGTGCGCTCATTTGATAGAATTTACTGACTATTTGCCTTTTAAGTCCTTTATTAAAAGTATAGTTCTCCCAAAAATTAAAATTCTGTCATTTACTTTAACTTGATCGTTCCAAACTTGTATGACTTACTTTCTTCTGCAGAACACAAAGATATTGGACTCCATTGACTTTCATTGTATGGATAAAAGACTTTAATTGTTTTGTGTTTAACAGAAAAAAACAAATGCATACAGATTAAGAACAACATGGGGTTGAGTAAAGGATGACAATTTTTTCCTTTTTGGGTGACTGTCTCTTTAAGGGCCATCATATCATACTAACCCCTAAGTCTTAACCTTAACCTTAGAAATACATTGGTAGCACATCATGATAGAAAACATCACTGTTTGCTGTGATCAGATCCATCCATAGTATTTCTGAACTCTGAACTGAATCCATTGGAAGTCTGACCTTCTCTTGACAGGTGATATGTCAAGAAGCATGACCGAGCTGACCAATGAAATCGCCTGCTGGGCGGGGTTTGTGCTTGACTTGTTCAGGAGGGAAAAATCATGCAAAGCACCAACAAATCCTGAA